CAGACTGCAACTGAAACTACTATTATTGTTCATCTACAACTAAAACATTCACTAATGAGTCATAGTCTAATTACATGTATATGTCAGTCATAAATTGATATTTAATTACAGAATGATATTTGAATTAATTTTTTACGATGATATCAGTTCCACTTAATATGGTCATTAGTCATTAGAAAAAATATTCTTTTACAATTTATGCATAGATATTTGAGGATTTTTTATTTGAGATATATCAGATTTCAATTTTAGGGTTTAATTTAATTTCAGCCACGGTCCAATTCTACGTATGACAGATTATTTCACTGGACCGATACTTACAATAACAAATTGCATCGTTGTGATCGAGAGCATGCTAAATCCAGAGGATTGCAAGTCAATGATGAAGTAAGTGTCAATAATAATTTCTGCTCATACAACAGAATGTGTTGGCTATTGGTGTTGACAGGTAGAATTATAACATAGTTTCCCCTACAAATACATTGGTCTGCCCCTATTAAAATGTTTTACTCTTTAATACATCACTGGTATTTTAGACCATGTTCATGTTTAAAAATCAGATGCTCACTTGTTTTCTGTCATTGGAGAATTTTAAGAATTGAATGATAGAAAACATAAAACAAATGTAAAGGATTAGAGCTGTGCTGCACATTGAGAAAAAAACGCTTCATCTTTCCATGAACCAGAAAACAAATCATTTTTTTTTGTGGCCAGATTATTTAAGTATAATTTTTGCATACAAACATGAGAAACATGAAAACAAGTGAAGATGATCTGAAATTCTTAAAGTCAATAAATCATTATGGCTGTTGTGATTTTGGACATTGTTGTTAACACACAGTGTCTGTTTATTCTGATTTACTGTAAAATACTTTATTTTCACTATTTTTGCTGAAGGGATGAATCTTTGTAAATAAAATATACCTTTTTTCCTGTATTTTAAATTCAAGTCATCAAAAATTATCTATACAAAACACCCAAAAGGCCATCTCAGTGAAAATTAATTCCATACAAAATAAAGTATTTTCCAGTAACCCAGGCACTGCCCAGTATAACTTACATTTGGTCACATGGTTGAAGTAAAAACAATGATACTTTTATTCTTGAAATGAGTACCATGGAGAAAAGATTACATGCAAACCAATGTTTATATGTACAAATTAATTTTAGTAAACCCAACATCAGTCTTATTCAAATCCAAACAAGGTACAGTATATGCCTCTCTTCATTCTGCAGAGCACTCGCATATGTCACCATTTTTCTATCTCATCATGATCAATTGTATTGATTAGCCTACCACTGTGATGTTACTTCATACTGTAAAACAATATATTTCTACTTAAATATATTTAAATTTAAGTTTTGAGTTCGCAAGTTTGCCAGCGAAACAATGAATTCACATGAATTTCATATAGCAGATTTTACTCATTTGCGAAATTAATTCCCATTGACTAATTATTACATTTACAGTAATTAGAAGCTCATAGAAATTGTTTTTAGATAATTTATATTGTATATGACAATTGTTGATTACAGTGTATCAGTAATAAACATACATCACATAATTGTTTGCAGTACAACCACTTTAGGCCTGCTTTCATTTGCATAATTTGTATTATGGTTATCTGAGGAGCAATTTAACCAGTGGGGTACTTGATTTTTCAAAGTTGAATTTTTTAAATCAAGGCTAAAAAGATAGCCATAATAAATTATATTGTTATTCTACAGCTGTTACAAACTACACAAAGTTCTTTCTACTGGTAATACGTAATAAATTTGGATTTACTGTTGTCAAATCTTGAAGAAATGCACCCTCCAGTGGCCAACAACAGAAACATTTCATATAACATGCTGGTACATCCAAAATAATGCATTTGTTTTTATTGGCTGCTGTGTTGACTCTTTGTATTTCACAGATCACAGACAACTCTTTAATGTATTATCTCCTTCTATAACAGCGTCTATTATTTTGTCTCAACACAAAATTCTGCACATAAATGGACTCTCTGTGGTTTAATATTTGCTAGTAACTTGACTTCATCATGGTCACCAGTCTGGCAACATTAGTTACGGATTTTAACGCTAGATATAAGTTGTCAATTATATTTTCACATGTTGTCATTTGTGCATTACAATATTGTACATCAATTTGGTTGATAACTCCTACTTATTTCTTTTACCACTTCAGGAGAGATACAAGGAAGTACCAACTCTGGCGTCATCAGAATATGGACATCGACTGGAACAGTTTTTGGACCCTCCTGATAGGTTGCATGTCAGGATAGGACATGTTAAATCAGAGTTTTATAGAAAAAATGGTGTAAATATTGATGGAAATACAGAAGGAATGTGAAAAATAACAATTTCTTTATTTATTGGATTACATGCTCATTTTTGGTGACTACTGGGATAGAACATCCTTATTGGTTACTATAGCAACTAAACTTGAATAATTTTATGTCAACTATGATGTTGGTTTAAGTGTTTGATGACTACTGGCAGTTGCTATAGTGATGGGTCACAGAACAAAGACGTTTTGTGGTTTGCGGCAGCAACTTCCCCCCCCCAAAAAAAATATTTGCACATTTTGCAATACATTTAATGGTTTTGGATATTACCATGCAATATCTTTTCTGATTTTTGTAGTGGAAAGGTTTGTTCGAATTAATGAGCATCATAATGCACCATGTGATAGTTTCAGGCATGCTTTCCTATGAATAGTTTTATCATAAACTGTATAAGTTGTGTAGGTAAATGTATTTAATTGCATTAAGCGACTACGGTAGCTGGATTTGTGATAAAATGGTCACAATGTTTCCTAACAAGAGTGATGAAAAAAAACTTTCTCACAAATGTGAATACTAGCATGTCACAAACATTTGGTTTGAACAGAACAGAAGGGGAAGGTCTATATTCCTCAGTTTTTGATGTTAAATGTAGTATTGTAATTATTTGTACAATAAACTGATTTATTAGTTTCTACCATGCTCCCTTTGAATAGCGCCCTCTATCAACTAACAAGTGCCATAGACTTTTTATGTAAATTAGTTTTAATAATAAAAGACATTATGAATATTGAATAATTGTCTTCTTTATATCATTTTATTTATGATAGAACACTCACAATTTTTCTTTGTGATAATAATTCAGTAGTTGTTTACAAATTTTTTTTTGATGTCTAAAAGAATTAAAAATTCCACAATATTTTTAGTGAGTTTTTAATAAGGAAATGTGTTCCCCTGTGGTCAATGAAAATTACTTTATCATTTTTCTCACAAAGCAGACTGACAGTTAACCAAAAAAGTTTACATGTTGGGGAATACTGAAACAATTAATTGTAGATAGATTCTGACACAAAATAATGTCACTGCTATATCTGCTAAAATATGCATTCATGTATTCTTTATATATCTGTGAATTTGATTTGCAGAATTGAAAGCTCCAAATGATATACATGATGTATTTATGTCGACATAATTATGTTATATGGTGGTGAAAAGTCATGTTATATGCTATAATATATAAATATATAATAAGATAATATTATTATATGGTTATGTAAAAATCATATATTATCTATCTACCACAATTTAAGTTAAGGTAAGGTAAGGTAAGGTAAGGTAAGGTCATTACCCAATACATGTATTGTATTCAGCAGAATCAATTTACTACGCTGATTTAATGTTTTTAGAATTCAGTTCATCACCCTTCGTAATTAACAGCCGTAATGAATTACATCCCACATTTTGGTTCATTGGGTTTCTCTATTAAATAACCTATCCAAGCGGAATGTTGTTATAAAAAATCAGTTATTCCGAGTTTGTTGCATGTTAAAAACGTTGGTTTTCTTCAAAAGAATTTTAAGAAAGTTCTCACCTATACATTTTCGATAATGGTGAGATTCAAAATTTAACATGCTACTGTATTCATTGGAAGTTTTACCAATACCGAGAATAGATATGATGGAAAGAACTAGTACAATCACTCTATGACTTAATAACTGTCTGTATCTAGTGTGCAAAGTTTGTGTATATATCTGACTGTGAAATAAGATTGAGTAGACAGCGACAGCTGACAGATAGCTTTAGCTTTCTTTTTACTTTCATGGTACATGCAGATTTGTAAATACAATTTTGAAACTAAAGTGTGCTGATGGATTTTGTGAAGAAATGTTGACGGTAAACAGAAAAACGAAAAGAGAAATTTCGTGCATGTGGATAAAACAATGTATTTTACACGCGTTGTATACATTGCTATGAGTCTCATATCGAACAGGACGCGGTGTTAACATATGTCAATACAATACCACATTTATTCTATTAGAGTACACTCACTCGGATAAACTACAGCGGTGTGTACTAGTATATGATAAAAATGTGTCATACTTTTCATGATCCAGTATATAGAATATGCATCTGTTGGTTTATTTGATGCGCTTACAATATAGGGTATTACCAAAAATAAAAATATACCACAACCACCATAATATTTCAAATAGAAATGCTGTTACAGGTATAGGAAAATGTGTTATGGCAAGAGAAAATAATGTGTTTTGTCCTTTCTATATAATAAAGTGAAATAAACAAAATTACCTGAAGTGTTGGACAATGCCACCCATCATGCAAATTAAGTCAATAAATGGTGGAGTGGTTGTGGTGGAGCAAAGACCTATAACCTTGTAAACATACATTTTCGTTAATGTCACTGCCTCGAAAAATGCCCATTCAAGTTTCTGGTTGGAATACTATTTTATGATAGTACCTAATAACTGCAGTTGAAGGTGTATAAAAGTGAAAATTTGAAGTTACTGCAGTTGGAGGGTTCAGTTCAGAGGCAAGATTTTTTCTTCAATATTTGTTTTATTCATCAGTTAATCATAGCGAGAGTACATAGATCAGTTCACAATTATAAAATAAAATCTCTACTTATCGCACTTACGATTCATTCTAATGAATAATATTAGTTTTTATTTTTAATAGTAAAAGTTTTTACGAATTGCCATATGTGTTTTTTCTATCTTAAACACATTCTTTACCTCATTTCTTAAATTAAGCCAGAGTCGTCCCAACGTTCGTAGCGTGGTATATTCGGTTAGTACATTGCTCAGACAATTGTAACCAGCGTCACCCAAAACC